GATCGCCCGCCTGTCTTCAGGTGTGGATGCTTTGCCCCAGAGTTTGGCATCATTGGCAAACTTGGCCAGTCTGCTCCTGATTCCAATGTCCACATCATTAAGGAAGATGTTGAACAATATGGGTCCAAGGACAGAGTCTTGGGGGACCCCACTGGTCACAGGACACCATGATGAGTGACTTCCGTCAACCACCACGCTCTGGGTCTGACCACGGAGCCAATGTCTCAGCCAGTAGATCATGGTGGACCCAAGGCCACAATTGGCCAGTTTTGCCAAGAGGTGATCATGGGATACCAGATCGAAGGCTTTTTTGAAGTCAAGATATATGACATCAATCTCTTCTCCATTGTCCAGGTGATAGAGTAAGTCATGGAAACACAGAGTGTCCAGGAAGTATGGTATCCTCGCAGACAGTCTGGGTGAAGCAGCAGGAACTTTTCGTGTGGCAGGACAGCAACAAGTCTCAGCCCCAGAGCCTTTTTGGCAAATAGTTCCTTATAAAAGTGCCTGTAACTACTGTAATAAAGTGTTGTTTCCCCACCATAAGCTTCATCAGGATACTACAGGCTGCATGCAGTGCTCATTTGACTTGCTCCATTGAGCACAAGCTACAGTGCTCAGCTAATAGCTATGGCTGCGAGAGGACTAGCACAGCACTCTGTCCCTTTTGCTGGGCAAGAGACAAGCCCCAGTCATTCTGGCAGCCATAAGCAAGCAGGAGGTGTGCTCTGATATTCCTCTCTGTCTCTGTTTCAGTGCAGAAAAGTCAACTTCCCTACATCAGACACCCCCACCAATTTTGGAGGGCTATTTACTTGTGTATGGTATACGAGTAAATATGGTATGTCCCTAGCATCAGTGGGTAGGGGCAGATCCAGTACTTACCAAAGCAAGTTGCAGGAGAAGCCACGGGCACTGCAGAGGCTGCTGAATCTCCTCCCAGCATCTCCACCTCCCAGTGTGCACAGATCACGTTGCTGGAGCCTCTGGGGACTTTTTAAAAATGCCCAAAGCACATAAGAATCCCCCCTCCATGCTCAGAGGCATGCCTCTCCTCTCTCCCCTCTCTCTGTCTGCTGCCATTGCCTTCCCTTTGTCCCAGGCGAGGGGGAAGTTTCAAAGCTGACCCTGCCTGTTCTAGCTGGGCTGCACAGAGGCTGGGCTCATCTGGGAAGAGAGACAGTATTAGTGGCTGAGCACTTAAATGTCTGCTCTCCAGGGAACCCCCACTCCCTTTGCCCCTCCCAACTCATTGCTGTTGCTGTCACTGTTCCCAGCTGGGTCCAGTGCCTGCACAGCTTTGCTGGAGAGGGCAGGAGTGGCTTTGAAACTTCCTCTGCTCCTGGGGCAGCAAGCAAAGCAGCAGTGGCAGGAAGGAGTGGAGTTGGGAAGAAAGAGGGGAGGGTGTGCCTTTTAAGCATGGAGCGGAAGGGAAGATTCTTATGTACTTTGGGAACTTTAAAAAGTCCCCAGAGGTGCTCATGGCATGGCCCAGTCCAGCAGGGGTTTGCAGCCAGGTTACTGCACCCCCTCTGGATCTGCCCCTGCCAGTGGGCATCCGCGAAGCCTGTTCAAGAGAAATGTAGCTTGTTTAGTGCCCCTTCCTCTGGTCTAAAGGGGTTGTGTAGCCCCAAGAGATAAATTTGAGCACGTGAAGGTGCACGTTATTTCAGTGGCTGTAGTGAAATGAATGCTCTGGGTGATGGAAGACCATGATCCCTTGCACGGTACATGGGAGAATGTGTTCTTGTGTGGCCACGCCATTATTTTAAACACTGTGCAGTGCAGAGAAAATGCACTGTTACTGTTACACAGACGCACTGAAACTTGGGATTCTCCGCAACACCTCCTACTGGATCAGATTTCACAGACACAGGTATGGAAGTGTGACCCATCAGCCACCAGCTGGGCTCAACATAGGAGTAACTGGGTGAAATTACATGTCTTTGGGAGGCAGTAAGCCAGACTAAATGATCAATCTGTCCACCCTGGTCTTAACCTGAGAATCAAGACAGGCCAATTGTGTGTTTTGGGAGAAGCATGATTTTGAGTTTCCTGACCATTGTGCTTTTAAAACTCTATCCATAATTCTGGATACGATTAACACTAGTTCTTAATTGCATTGTATCTGTGCAGTAGAGACCAGGTCCTATTTAATCTATTAGGTGCCTAAGTGGCTTAAGAAGTCCCTACTTTTGTAACATGCCATCATGTTACCCTTTAAGGCTAAGTCACCAAAGTGGTAGCAAGAAGGGACCACTTCTTCTTCCTTTTGTGTTTGCTCAAATCCCTGCAAACAGCTGAGTGGAACAGGTTCACACTTGGGCACCTAATAGGTAGAGTAGAACAAGGCTATAAGTAGTCTTAATGCGCTTGGATCGTAAAATAGTTGTGACTTGATGAACTGGTAGCTCCATTCACAGTTGAATTTATAATGACCTGTTTTAATGCCCAGGTGAATTGTCCCAAAGAAGAAGTATCAAGATATTGTGGGAAGCAAAATGCCTTACTGAAAGCGTATCTGTTCAGGTAAATCAGCGGAGTGTCATTGTATGGTAGGGACTACAGAAAACACTGGATTGTTCCTGAATATGACTCTGTTAAAAGGTGTTAAGAAAACCCTGTGACACAGTGGGTCCAGAAGAAATGTAACAGTGGGTATATATCCAACTTGGGTAGGGTTGCTAACCCTCCAGAATTGCCCTGGAGTCTCCAGGAATTAGATACAAGTCTCCAGGAGACTGCTGAGAGTCACTCAGGAGATAAATAATAGGACATTCATTAAAATAAATATTAAAAGTTGAATATGACTTATACAGTAGTCTAGTGGGTTTTTAAAATGTAATAGTAATGTGCATTTGCCTTCCTGATGTAAAGTGTACTCACTGTAATCCATAACTGATGCATGCGGGCATAACGGTACTCCAGAAACCTGGAATAAATTCAAACAAGTTGGCAACCCTAGATTTGGGTGGAGAGCTGTGACAAGACCCTGCTTCAGCTTGTAGCTGGTTTGCTGCATTCTTCTGAGGATGCAGGGAGGAAACCTCTGCCTTCCAGGGAAGACTTGGCATGAAAGATGCCAGGTGCAAATCTTGGCTTTGGTGGATAGGAAAATGGGGTGTGAAGGGACCTCCTGCATCACTGACCCTCAACATTTCATCTCCTTCAGAAACCAGTCAAGGTGCCTCTTAAACCCGGTTAGGTTGTTTGTTACTGTTGGGAGGCTGTTTTGGCACCTTGTTGCTCTGGTGGTTCTTCCGAACTCCACTCCACGTGTCTTCCCGGCCAGGTGGATTGGAAACTGAAAGTCTTGCCTACTTTTTCTTGGCATATGGGGCTCACTGGGAAAATACAGTGGGCTCCATCTGTCACTGGTGTAGTTGGCTTCAATAGAGCCGTCTCACTTGGTACCAGTGAAGGATGTGGCCCTGTATCCCTGGAAGGATGTCAGAGGAAGAGCTCTGGGAACAGAACTGGATGAGTCAGTTGGAAGGCATTTGGGTACCTCGTGGTTAGACCTTACAAGAGCTACCTGGGAACATTTAATACAATTTTCCTGATGGAAATACATTTCTTGACATTATCCTGGATGAAATGGCTATTTCTCTGAGCCAGCTGCAGCCATTGGACACAGTTTGAAAGAGGCGCTAGAGCAAGTGTTGTTGTCTAACAAGCAAGGGAGTTTAAGGAGAATGGGGAAGATGACTAGACTGTAGGATTTCACAGTGGGGGAGATAACGGGCAGCATCTCCCATAATGGATTATAATCATGTGACTCCTGTGACATACAAATGGAGCAGAGTGGAAGCTGGGGTACATTATGGGAAATGTAGTCCAGCCTTAGAGTCTAGCCCTTAGATGAGAATGGGGATGGGGAGACATGAAGGTGTTTTGAACAAAAAGTCCCTGAAGTGCTACGGCCAGCTTGGCTGCTTTTGGTTCCTCTTGGAAATGAAATATCTTATTTGTTTTCTTAATAGGAAAACTTGAAACGTTTTGGCAAAATGCAGGTTTTTTCTGTGGAAAGTTTTTGCCTTGGCCTTTGAGAACATTATGCTGGAGAATTCCCAGCCGGTGCTACTGTACAGGCGGCAACCATAGCCTGGCCATGAAAGGGGGCTGTGTACCACGCCGAACGTACATTTGCACCCACTGAAGTTAGGTTGAAGACTCCCATGGACTTCTGTGGTCTTTGGTTTTGATCCAGAAACAGACTTCTGCTCTTTGAGGTGTTCCTGCTGAGTTGTTTAACTAAGACATGTGCTCTAGAAATGTAGGAATAACCCCAGGGCTGATCCTGTATTATCAGAGCAGAAGCCTCTTGAACATCATGTAATGGGACTTTTTAAAAGCATCTTAAGAGATTTAGGCCCTCAGCTCCCATTAACTTTAGACTCATGTTGCAAGAATGCTTTATTCTTCTCTTCCAGTGGTTTCTTTTGCTGAGGAGCCTCTTATATGCTCTCAGAAGTGCAGGAACTCTGAGGTCTGGGTTTTGCCAGCAGTCAGACATGTTGATTGCAATGGTACTTGTTTGCTTTAAAAGAAAAGATACTGAGAAACAGTGAGCACAGCTAAAATGATGAATAACCCAGGCATCTGTCTGTCTTGTCTATCTGTGTTCTTTCTTGGCTTGTCTTCCCCAGAGGGAACATATTGCTCAGAGAATTCCCTACGGATGCCTTGTTCAACGTGAACGCTATAGTAGCCAACGTCCTGTTGTAAGTGGAGACCAGCGCCATCCATGTGAATCATTTCCTTTGTACTTACATTTGTTGCTTGCCCTCTTTCTATTTGGTGCACTTAGGCCAGACTAGCCTATTAGGTGGACAAACTGAACAGTAGCCCAGGGTGGAGGAATCGGGGAAGTTCCCAGGGGAAGGAATTGAGGAGAAGTTCTTGAGTTATTGGTGGCTTTGATTGGTTGCCATGTTTAGCTATGCAAACATGGTGGAGGAGAGCAGCAAAATTAATTTTGTCTAGAACAGTAAAATAGCTCCATCTGGACCAGTAGTTTGGCCAGGCAAAGTCTCTACCCACAATGTGAGTTGTAGGTGTGAATCCAAGCGCTTGTTCTCTGTTCCTGATTTGCAAGTGCAGGTGGAGATGCAGAGATACCCACCTGTAGTGGTTCAGTGAGTGCAGGTTTTCTTTTTCCCCTTTAAATGAGACCAGTATGAATTAGATTTGTGTGTCTCCGCAGTGCACTTCTCTTTAATGAAGTTAAATATATTGCGTCACCTGTGGATCATCAGAATCTAGAAAATTCCCTGAAGGGAAGACTGAATGTCGTCTTTGCCTATGTACCAGCGATTGGAACAGCAGGTACTACATTTATCCATTCATTTCATTTCCTGTCGGTAAGATTTTACTTTGGTTGTACAGGACTGAGTTTCTGACCCAGTCCGGCATCCCAACACAACCAGAAGTGTAGGGTTGGAAGGACCCCAACAGCTCATCTAGGCCATTTCCTAGAGGCAGGATCAGACGTACCTAGACAATCTCTGGCAGATATTTTGCTTGGCTTCACTGTTGAAACAGTCTCTTTCACCATGAATATTTTACGGACAGGCTCACAAATCAAGTGGATAAATAGATACCGATGTTTTCTTGACTACTGATGTTGAAAACTGGTTCAGGGTATGTGTGCGCTGGGAGTGAGATGGGATCAGAACATACTGTATTTTCTTACGTGGATATGCATATTCCCTGTTATAAATTGAGACACATTTTATAATTGAGGAAATACCGCAACAGTGGTTTTTGCCACTTTAAACCTCTTGCTACCTGCTGGCTGGGGACCTTTTTATTTTATTTTTTCCTCACCCTGCTCCCCTTCCCAGCAAAGACTCTAAAGGAAAGAACTCGTTTCCTTCTTTATTATGACTTTCAAAAAACAAGGTACATGTTTTATTCAGGGATACGTTATATGGTATGCATTAGACTACCTACCCCATATGGACCAGAACACATTTTGTTTCAGAGCACAGAGCAGTCATGGAAGCGGCTTTTGTGTACGGTACTGCTCACCAGTTTATTCTAACCACTGAAGTGTTGCTGCTGAAGAGTGTCAGGTATGTACAGCCCACGGAGAAAGGGGTTTGTCTGAACTTGCTCTGTTTTTGTGTTAGGCCATGTCTGTGCCCCCTCTCTGCAGAACCTGGAGCTAAAGGTGATAAATGAGCCCTGTCTACTTTCTCCTGCTCCATGCATGCTAAAGTCTGGCCATTGGCAAAGTAAATGCCTTAGAAGGGTCCTGAGGCTTGTTTGGGAGGCAGTCCTGAGCTTGGCTTGGAGGTAGTATAGATGTATTTCCCTACTGGCTTTGTCATCTTTTTTGGATTCCCAATCCTAAACATTTACTAATAAAAGTCAATCTCATATAGCCTCACAGGGCTGGGCAGGAAGTGAGAACCTTGCTTTTGATACCTGCCCGAGAGTATGCCCACAGGTGGCCCCATTGCAAGGGTTCATTGCAGAGGAAATGGCCTTGAGCACTTGCTGTCTGTGTGCAAGGGGTAGGATGGGGTCAGAGTACACTGTATTTTCTTGCATACAACATGCAACTTCCCTCCCTTCCCCCCAGATTCAGCTGCTGGAAATTTAGGTTCACATTGTCACCACTTTGGTTCTTGCAGCAGTGGCACAAGCCTTTGTCTTTGTGCCCAACTGAAAGTGTTCATAGAATCATAGAAAATGAGGGTTGAAGGGACCTCCAGGAGGTCACATCTAGTCCAACCACCTGCTCAAAGCAGGACCAGCCCCAACTACATCATCCCAGCCAGGGCTTTGTCCAGCAGGTCAAAGATGGAGACTCCACCACCTGTCTAGGTAACCTGTTTCAGTGTTTTACTACTCCCCTGGTGAGAGTTTTTCCTAATATCCAACCTAAACCTCCCTTGCTGCAACTTGAGACCATTGCCCCTTGCTCTGTCATCTGCCACCACTGAAAACAGTCCAGCTCCATCCTCTTTGCAACCTCCTGGCAGGGAGCTGAAGGCTGCTGTTAAATCCCTTCTCAGTCTTCTCTCCAGACTAAATAAGCCCAGTCCCCTCAGCCTCTCCTCACAGGTCATGTGCCCCAGCCTTCAAACCGTTTTTGTTCTCCTCCATTGGACCCTCTCCAATTTGTCCACATCCTTTCTGTAGTAGGGGGGCCCAAAACTGGACACAGGACTCCAAATGTGGCCTCCCCAGAGCTGAATAGAGGGGAAGAATCACTTCGATCTGCTGGCAGCACTGCTACTAATGCAGCCCAGTATGCTGTTAGCCTTCTTCTCCACTGGGGGCTTATATTTGACTTACTGTCCACTGTCACCCCCATGTTCTTATCTACAGAGCTGCTGCCCAGCCAGTCAGCCCCCAGCCTGTCCCAGTGCATGAGGTTGTTGCGTCCTAAATGCAGGACTTTCTACTTAAATTCACAGATGCTAGGGTCGGAAGGGACCTCAATAGATCATTGAACCTCATGAGATTTTTTTGGTCCAAACCTCCAGTTTGTTGAAGTCTCTCTGAAGAGGGACACGTTTGAGGAATCTCACCAGTTTGTGCAGCAAATGACAACAGTTGACAAGGAGGGACACATGAGCCTGACTGCCTGTTTTGCAAACACAGGCAGTCTTCAGACTTTTATGACACAATTGGTTCCTGAAAACCACAAAACATTGTAACTTGGAACCAATTTTCTCATAAAAAAACAATGTTATAAATGGGGGATTGGTTCCTGAACC